GGGAGAGAGAGAGTTTGGGGGAGGATGTTGGGCAAGAGGTAATAAGTTGAGGCAAGTAAATGAAACCTGGAAATACCAGTGAATTAAGAAAAAGTGGCCTGGAAAGGTCATGGGGAATTTTTGTAATGAATGTAAATTTTCTCATATGTAACACCCTATTCCTTAATTTAATTTATCCTTATAACCACTGACACTAATCTAACACAGTCTAAATCTAACCTTGACCCTTAACGTCTGTTATAAATACTGCCCTTGTTCCTTCATCTGACTTGGATCTTAACTCTCAGCCCTAACACCTATTCATACTCTCAGTCCCTAATTTAGTAGTAACTTTCATTTTCAGGTTTGCCATCAATTTTTCATTTTCAATGAGAGTGGTCCATTTATGGCAAAGTTGAAAAAAGTTACAACAGAGACATGAAGTTGCGACTACCAAAAGTGAAGATAGTTGAGCATACGATCCATCTCCTGTGAGACAAAATCTTGGCCTACAGTGCTTCTCATTTGTGATCATATTTTCAAAAGCTAGGGTCAGTTCTGCCGTGCACCAATGATGTCAGGGCAGCCAGCATCAGAAACGCTTAGCAACTAATACAGTGACCTGGCGACCAGTGATTACCCTAGTGACAAAAACCTATACCAAAATGTATTTAAAATACATTTATTTCATACAAAGTATACTACAAAAACCATTAACATATTTACTTGCATATCGCTCGAGACTTACTGATATAAATATTATAATTAAACTTTATTTGGAGTTCTTCTTTATTGCACTATGCACATTTGTTAATATAAAGCTAAATGTGTTTTAATATCACTATTAGTAAGGATAGTATGATCTCTGTATAATATCAGTCTTTAAATGCATGATATTTAAAGTGTACCTAAAGTATACTTTCAATAGTTCCACTTTGGCACAATCAAATATACTTAGGCCTAAGTATATATTTAGTTGAAGTTCAGCACTACTTCCGGATAACTAAAGTGCATTTAGTACAAAATTAGTTGTAGCAATTTAACAGACTTTAAGTATACCAATTTAGTATACTAAACGTACAATTGCAGGGTATTTATATTAAGTACATAAATATGTAAAGGTATTTGTAGTATACTTAGCATAAAATAAATGTATTTTAAATACATTTTGGTATATTTATTTTTTACTAGGGGTAAAATTGCTGTAAATGTGATTTGATTCCAAGCTTCCACTCCTTTACCTAGTCCCAACTCCTTTTCTCCACTCCAAAACAAGACTTGGATCCGGTTCTGGACTAGGATTTGCTGATTTGGATCCACTGTTCAGAAACCTAACTCCAAAATCTAATCCAAAAGTTAATAGGATTGTTTTTTCAAGTATCTGCACACCACATGATAAACCACAAAAAAAAAAAATTCCTTCAAGCCCATGTTCTCTTATTTTATTACCGAATAATGTGCTTTACTTATTCAAATATTACTTGTCTATTATTCTGTTTGTACTGGGTAACTTCTGGGGCTGGTGCAGGATTTATATATTTAATGTGCAGGACATTATGGAAACAGAAGGGTCCATGACATGTACCCTTTGGAAAGTTGACATTAATATGTCTGCAACTCAAAATGCCAAACTCCAACGGATGGATTTTTCTGCTTATGTCAGCTATGTTTATGACAGCATGAGCATGCCAACAAGTCTTTTCAGAATGTGAGCTTTACATAAGTCATCAGTCCATTTGCAGTCAGAATTATCTTAACACGTTCTCTGTTCAGCATAATATTTTTAACTGATGAAGATCACACCCCACAGTCTGCCATTTCCCACAGTAGCATGTGTTCCCTGCTGAGGATGTATATTACTTGTTGCAAAAATTACAGAGGCGTATCTGAATGTGAACTCAGAGCAGGGTGACGGGACAGTACAAATGTGAATGACTGGTCTCGTTGTCTAATGGGAACACAGTGGAAGGTCAGTCAGCCTTGGCTAATGCCGTCAATCTGCCACCTTGGAATGAAAAGTGCTGATAATGAAATTCCAGTAGCACCTACACCATAATTGAAGGCAAAGCTCAGACAATGAGGTCCTCTTAACTAGATTTTAATTGTGCAGTATATTGCATGACAACCTTACACCTACACCCGAAGTGGGCTGAGCAGGAAGGAAATATTAAAATGAACACCTGGATATTTATCATTTCCTTGAAATACATTTTTGTAATTTATTGTACATGGAATGCACTTTATTATTTGTTGTACTGAACAAAATGTGTTAATGCTCTGAGTCCACCTGATTTAAATAGGGTGATCAGACATCTCTTTTCCCCCGGGACATTCCTGTATTTCAGCTCCATTTTTAGTGTCCCGACTTATTATGAAAATATTATGTTTTGTCCCATATCTCTTCTTTCCTAAATTGTCTTTGCTTGGTGATCATAAAAACAAGTATCAGAGAGCGTAGAGGAGATCAAGTCAGACGCAAAGATGTCAACGAATTTAATGAAGATCTTCAAAATGCGTTTATCAATTATTATGCACAGTAAGTTGTGAGAAAAGAACTCCATGTGGCATCGCGTTGAATGACACACACCAGAAGCGCTCTCTCAGACAGCGCCAGTCCCGAATTCAGTTCTCTTTGGGCCTAAATGACATTTGGTATGCATTCAGGGCTCGACAGTACTGCCCGATGGAGCGTGAACGACTCTCGGGACAGTAGACGGAACTGTCACTTGCCCGAGTGCTGGTGGGCCAGTGCTGCATCGTCACAAAAGTTTATAATTTGCACGTGTTTATCATTTGCAAGCTTTGGCTATTGAAATATTTTAAAAGTGCAAGAAGACGCATTTGGTACTCGCTGTTTGAGAAGTTCTCTTTCACGTTTTCTTTCGCTTGAACGTACATTTTCACACAAAATTATGACAAATATGCCCATATTGCGATTATCCTAGTAAACATTGTCGGTTGTGACTTAAGTGAATGTAAACAGTTGAGAAGTAAAACGCTTGTGTAAGGACAGGTCCAAATATGTTTGTACTGTTAAAAGCATGGGATTGCAAGTCAGTGGAACTGCTGCCTGTCTTTTTAATGTTGATAAAACAACAAGACAAAGAAAAAAAATCGCTCACGGCTCTTGACCGAATAGCTTTTGAAACTTTAAAAAGGATGAATCTCTATTTAATTCATACAGTGAAGACTATCCAGTGTTATTTAACATTTGTTTACTTTATTCAATACCAGTACCTGAAAACAATAACTAGGCCAGTCGAAAGCCCCTTGGTTTATTGTTAACATTGAATATAACTTTATTGAATCACTGAATAACTTAGCCTACACATTGATAAGCAATAGTATTACTTCAGTTATATGCTATAACACGTGTAGTGTTTAAAAATTATGGTTACACTTTCCAATTAGTTTCTTTTTAAAGAGTCTTTAAAATATTGTATCTCTATGTAGGTAAATATTGTTGTTTAATGTTATGTATTGTTAGATTAGTGCTTTAAAATGATAATTCTGGAACGTGTGAAAGGCTCCTAAGTCGACTTCAAACACGAAAATCTATTTAAAAAATGGATCCTGTCACTGTTAGTGAAAGATTCAGTGATATGGAAATAAAACAAACCATGTTTGACTTTCTTATTATTTAATATATATTCAATTTTCCCATGCTGGTGGCAAGCAACCAGCATCCCATGCTTGTCCCTGCATGCAAAACATACCTTATGCTGGTGACCAGCAATCCTGGATTTTTCAGAAGGGTATATATGCAACTTATTTAGTGTCAGGCAACATAGAAACTGTACTTGGGAATCCTAATGCAATTTCTGTGGCAAAATGGACTTGCACGAATAATAAATCCGTTGTCAAACTGGCTTACCAAACCCTTCCTCCGTACTGAGGGGGTTGAAATTTTTCTAAAAATTTTCAGATACCTTCTGCCAAAGCACTTGGCAAAGATTAAATTACTTATCACATGTGGTCTTTGGAAGTGAATGAAAGATTGTTAGTATTTCCTGTTAACTGTCTAAGGCCAGTAAGTCTTATTATGGAATGTTATGTATAACACCAATCCTTCATTAACACCTCCCGCTGTATGTAGAAACAGGTGGGCAGGTCTTCTGCAAGACTAAATGTCCTCCCTGAGCCAGGCAAAACATCTCCTTTACAGAATTATGTCTGTTAACTGACCGCTCTGACTTAGATGGCTTGCCAGAGCAGAGATTAGATTTGTGGTTGATGATGGGTGGGAGTTTCCTACCATATTTAGTTCCTGGTGACGTGACATTTTTTTTAGCAGATATGTGGATGATCAGTAAGAATTGTACATGACACTAAATCAGAGCGTTAGTTACAGCTGGGTCTTTGAAATTAGTAGACTTATTCATCAATATTTCTTAGCTATAACCTTCCAGTAAACTTTTCAAAGGGGGGTGGGGGGGGTTGTTAGTTCCAGCTCATGCAATTTCCCAATCCTGTCCCCCTCTCTCTCCCACTTCGCTTCCTGTCTACCTTATACTGTGCTATATAATAATGGAAGACAAAAAGTTGCACATTTATTTTTACTTAATAATCCCACTGCACACAAATCTTATTTGTTTTTCAAGTTGAATTTTTAGTTAGTTAGATTGATTACATTGGCATTTTAATGATTGATTCGTTACAATGCCAAAACTTCAATAACAAATACTCAGAGAGAAAAACATTGTTAGATTTATGATGTTAACTGTGGAAACGTGCCATCGCAGTCTGTGAAAATGCTCCAATAGTGCTTCAAGAAAAGGGCTCAGATAATGAATCCATCCTCACTCATTTTGTATGAGAAATGCCATTTACATTTCCACAACAGTACAATTTGTTCCTTAGTGGGAGGTTCTGTTCATCTTGTTTTTTGTGTTGTTGTTTTTTTTTTACATTTTTTTGTTTGTAGTTAAGTAACATTTATGGCTTTTTGGCATAGATTATGGCTACCATGATCATTTTCATAAGGGAGGTGTGCTGTATTGATTGATTGTTGGTTTGAATAGGTAATGCCATGCTGTTGAGAGTGCTGCCATCCGTATATCCACGACAACCAGGGCCAATCCATCAACACATCCGTGAGCTGACGGCGATGATGTCCCAGCTGGACCAAGCCGGTAGACACCACCTGCTCAGACTACTGCAGATGATTTCTGACCTTCACCCCCTGGTAAGTGAAGAGAGGTGGATGAGTGAGTGAAAGAATGAAAGTGGTATTTGGGGATGAATTCTGGTCAAGGTGAGTTATTCTGAGTAACAGAAAAAATAATTTAAAGGTCGTCAAATGAGTGCAGAGTGAGTTATTTAGCATTTATTTTAAAGCAGACAGCTGCAGCACAAGGTCAAACACTATAAAACAGTTTGATGGTTGACGCCTCTGCAGATTCCATAGCAGCCGTCAAACGGATGGGGAAATATAAGAAAACACGTCAGAACCCGCTGCCCCCCCACGACTCTCAGTGAAGACAAATTTTACAGGAAAAGAAAAGGGGAAACCACACTTTTGGCAGAAACAGAACAAGTCATCTGTTTTTTTTACATTTTACATCTGGCAAATAGCAGATGTGCGGAGTCAGAAGTAAAGAATGCAGTAGTCATGAGGTGTTAATTTTGCATTGGGTAACCAGCACATGCATATCAATCAGCTCATCAGTGAAAATACCCACATTAACACATTGGGTGCTTTCAATAGTGGTGAGATTAGGAAAGACTATGAGACAGTATCTTGTAATTGGTCATTCTTTTGGCATTTCCATTTGTGTTCATTTACAGAAACAGGAAATGGGAAATCAATGGAAACTGGTTCTACAGTACTTTCAAGGATTCATATTATCATTCCTCAAGCCCAAAGTCCAGGGCCATAACCATCATAGACACTGAGGAAAAAGGTCAAGGTCAACCCAATATTAAGACTAGTGGTCAACAAAAATGGGATTTTCAATGGATGATAGATACACTTGTTGTTACGGGTGCGTGGTACCAAGAAGCACGAGGAGACGAGGAATACAGGAAACAGGATTTAATAACAAAAGACACTATCCAAAAATGTACCATACACAAACGAGAACCGACAAGGAGTGAGGGAGAACACAGGGTTTACATACACAGAGAACAGATTAGGGAAACAAGGCACAGCTGGGACAAATTAACTAAACACAGGTGAAGGAACTGAACACAAACGAGGAGCGGGAAAACTGGGACACTGGACTGAACCAAAAATACTAAACAGGGGGAAACACAGGACATACATGTAACACTTGTATCACGATTTAGAAATATATGGTTACAGCCTTACGAAGCAGCAAAACATATGTATTGTTACTAACCCTAAAACAGTTCATTAAACTTTGTGGCAAGAAACTATTTTCTGTACAATAATGAGCATGAATAATGAAATGCTGATAAAGGCTAGAACAATTATTGTTCACTTGTGGAAAAGCTTTAGCTTTTAATTCATAAGGTTTTTGATATCATGAAAAACATGAATTCAGTCTAGTGTGTCTAAAGTTATGACAGGTAATGTATGTGACTCATTCTCAGGAAGGAATGCAGTTTGCTTCAAAGTTGTACTATTTCCTTAAAGACTTAATATTTTGTAGAAAAATATAAATTGTGGCTGTGTTTGAATTTCTTCACAAAAAATGTTTTAATTTAAAGTCGGCATGCAATGGAAATTCACCCTATGCATGTTATACAGCTTATTGTGAACAATTTATCTGTGCATACGGTTCATTTTTTTAAACGTTTTTGACCTTGTGATGTTTAATCAAAATGTCATAACCAATCTTTTAATCTTGCTAAACCCTGGCCTTGCAAGCTCATGTTCATCTGCCATCAACATCTAATTGACAACAGATTCATAGAACCAAGTTAATTTGTTAATAATCCATTACACTCAGATGTATGTCTCAATTCTATAAATCCAGATATTCACTTCATCATGACTATACAAGTCTGCCAGCTGGAATACGTACTTACCAGCATAGACTATCATAGAAATGTATAATAGCTTTTCTGTTTAAATGTATGGATTGATGGATAAAAAACAAACAAACAAACAGGTTGATCAATAACTTTCCATGTATTGTAAATCAGAAATAATTTCCAAGAGGAGTTTCCCCAGGCACTTTCTGCCCCAAAACCAGAGTCCTTCAAGGGTCCCGTTTGGTAAACCCGCACCCGTCCCGTACCTGCAGTACTTAACAGAACACCCGACCCGTTATCCGACAGCAGCACTAATTTAATATAAGAACAATACAAAACTTTCGGCCACTGCTGGAAGTTTATATAGAGATTTGGAAGCAAATGGGATTAACTAAGATTAGTCAGTGGTTTTTACATCCTGGCAGAGACTGGGAATCCTGCTTCTCACAGGACGTCCTGTCTGCCTCACCAGATCCTCTTTATCTCCTCTCCACCACTGCCAGTTCAAAGGTTTCCCAAAGAACAATGAGAGGATTAAGAAAATCCTTGCTAAAAGGGTATCGTTAGATCAATTTCATGCTGGAGAAAAGAGCTCATGTGACTCATATGCCTCTGGTCATCACTACAGTTTGTAAGACATGACACAAGATGTCAACCAACACACAAGATTTTACTGATGATCTGTCTTTCTTTTGTGAGTCACTTTTTGAAGGTCATTCACTGCTTTGTTGTAACAGACGTTAATACATCTTGAAAAACTCTCCATAGTGGGAGGATGATGACGAGTTTCCTTCTGCTCTACATTTTATTTCTCTCTGTTACTATCTCCATCAATTTTTTTTACACAAGCTCATAGGAACTAGGGATTCTGGTTAATGGGTGGGCGGCACTGAACTCAACCAACCAGAGTGCAGTGGTTCTTTACGCAGCACGATTAGAACCATAAGGGACCTCTGATGAAAGAACAGTTCAGGACCAAATGAGTGTGTTTGTGGTGTTTTTACCTCTTTTTTTTTTACATCCCCACTGTGAAGGATCCAGATAGCCTGTCCCTATGTGCTTCCAAGAACAGCAGAGAACAAACTTTTCCACCTTATGCTTCTCCTTCCGTCCTATTTCCTCGGCCCGTTGTCATGCTGCACGCTTTTTATGCAATATAAAACAGGTCTTACGCTTTAACCCTTCTGAATAATCTCGTCTTTTTGTCTCCTCAGGTTTTATCGTCTTTGGTACCATCGTTGATTGGTTACCTCAGTGACAATGATCTCAGTGACACTGCCCTGGGTGTGTTGGTTAACGTGGCTCAGGCAAGCCCTGCCTCTCTCGCTCCCTACCTGTCAACACTGAGAAATGTAGGTCAGAAGAACCCTTGGTTGTTGGGACACATCGCTAAGATCCATGGGACAGTGGGTCTGACTAGTGAGGTGGGTATTTATGTTTTCGTGCTTTAAAAGCTTGTTCTTATGTCAGAAATACATTGAGATGAGTGTCATGCACCATATAAAATTAAAACACTATTTATAAAAAACGAATAAACACTATTCAGATGATTACTAATGAATGCACCTTTATAAATGTGCCTGCTCATGGCGTGAGAAGCTGAAAAAAAGTCTAGTGCATAGTTACATGGGCCATCACCAAAAATAGTACATTCAGAATGAAGGAACAAGTCTTTGTGAATAACAATCAAGAAGCATATGCCAGTACACGTTATCTTTAAGCCTTTGCACTAATAGCTTCTCTCTCTATCTTACCTTTAAAATGCACGGTTGCATATCACATACCACCGGTAGGACTTTTTCTTCTCACATAATAAAACAGTAATTACTGTGAGATTTATTGTTGAAGGCAGTGAATGTTGCAGAAGTGGTTCTTTGATGTCTCTAATGTTGTTGCTTTAGGGGTGAATGTAGAAACAGGGAGGAGTTGAAGCACGCTAAAACTGCTGCTAAAACCTTTATTAGACATTAGACACTTCACGTTTCTCTTGGAGTTGAAACAGCCATGCTGCACGTTTTCTCCAGTTTTTTTATTTTTATTTATGGGGGATTTCAGAGCAGATCTGGGCAGGATTATGGTTATTGTAGTAGGCGATGAAGAGTTAAGATGGATGAGGAACGTGAGTTGTATCACTCATCGGTCGTGTCTGTGTGTGCATGTATATGTGTGGATCTCCGGTTTCTTTGTGTTAGTATATTGGCACCCTGGACTGTTTGTTCCAGCGTGTTTTGTATCATTATTATAAGTATCCATCATGTTAGGGAAATCAGGAGAGCGGAAAATGGACTTTGCTCTTTTTGGTCCGTTGTTTTAGTACAAACACCCGTTTTCACTCGACTTCCTCTTTTATCTTTTTATCTTTTATCTTTCTCTCTTTGATTCCGTCTGTTCTCCTCTCCCTCTAATTGTCTTTATTTCCACATTTTCCACAATAAATGTGTTTAATAAAACATTTTGTTGTTGTTTTTGAGTATAATATTTCAATACATCAACCTTTTATGGCTCATATACTGTACGTAGTATGATATAGTGAGAATATGGAGCTCATTCTCAAGGAGGAAAAAAATACCTCACATTAATTCAGAGGCTCAAACTGAGCAAAAAAGCAATTTGGTCCAGTTGTTGATATTTATATGGCCAAAAATGTTGTATATGAAAAAAAGTAAACTCAAGTTCTTTCAATCAGTAAGTGTCCATCTTGAAATCACCACCTTCAGCACCCTGGCATTGTGTTGGTGACTTTTGCCAACTCACATTTTCTTCAAAAACTGTAAAACGTACTTCATCTTCTTTAGTTCTACAACACTCCTCCATCTCCCAACTTTGTCTTATGCTTTGTTCTTCTTTCAGCAACTACAGTATTTGTTAGCAGTAATTTAGTCACTAATGGCTCCGCTCACTTTTTTGTGCCATCCTCTCTTTCATGTTAATTGAGTAGAATGGAAGTGTTGACAAAGTTCTGGATGTGTCAGCATCACTAAGCTGTTCCAGAATAAAATCACTCAGGGTGCTTCTGAAATTAGTGAGGATGCTCTAGTAAAGTGCAGATGTAATGTGTAAGCGTGTAATTGGCCGTCTGTCCTCTTAGTCGGTCCCTTCCTAGTCTTGGTGGGCCACTGTCCTTCAGAGTTCAGCTCCAACCCCAATTAAACACACCTGATCCAGTTAATCAAGGTTTTAGGCATACTAGAACAGGCAGGTGGGCCTCGCTTAGCTCATCCTTGTGATGAAGTTCCAAACCTGCTTGCTGTACCAAGAGATAAGGGAACACATTTTAGCACTTCATCGCTATTTCAGAGAGAGAGCGCTCTTGCATTCTTTCTTTCATTCTCTATCAGTTTGGTAAACCAATACAGTACCTGCAGCGTACTTGGCCGTTTCTCAATGTTGCCTAATGTGTTTGCTTTGGAGGTGGATCACGGTCTGACCAGTTGTGATCAGGGCCATGTGGAGATGAAATGGCAGAAGCTGAAGGAGGTTTGATCCAGTTACTTTCTTAGTGGACCTACTCAGAGGTCCCATATGCCCTTGCAGCAAAACAATCAAGGAAATATGGCACTTTTACTTCTGTACAACCATGATGTAACTCTGAAAGTATGAAATAAACTTCCAAAACCAATCGTAAACCTTAGTTTAGTACCGTCTAAATACCCATCAAAACATTTATAAAACAGCATTTATATCCATCTATATAGTTTTCTAGTTAGGTCTCTGTTGAGGAATTGACCAATGTTTTACTGAACTGGCTTCATGTGGCAGGCTTCCCTGTGTTCAGAAAGAGTGACAGCGTTGGCTTGTTAAACATGGATAAGTCCCAAATTGCTGAATGCTGAAAAAGTTTATTCCTTTCATATTTGCGGAGGGGCAATTAGGGGAGACAGCAGAAAAAAATTGACAAACAAAAAGGGTTTACCACGGTTTTAGAAAATCGTCACTGAAACATGAGCTACAGAACAAAAGCACGTGCACACACACATGCTCAACCACCATAGAGGAGATTGGACCATTGTTGGATGCTAAATCTCATATGATTGCCTAAGACTGGCCAAATTGCTCCTTTTCCCCCTGCGTAGCAACACATGCTGTGAATCTGCATTTCTCAAATTGTTCCTGCTCCTGTAAAAAAAAAAAAAAAAAAAAAAATAATGATTTTTTTTTTTTTGCACATTACTGTGGGCTGACTGGAAATAGGGAATAATTATAGTGTCACAATACTAAAATAAATGTAATCATTCTAAAATAGGCTTCATTTATTATGAATTTTTTCTTTTCTTTTTCTTTCAGGGTAAAATGTGACCCAGACATTGCTTGACCGTTTTTTTGTTGTTGTTTTTTGTAAGATTCACCTAAACCCGAAACCCATGGTGTGGGTTTAGGTGAAAAAACCTAAACCCTAAAAAACCTAAACCTAAACCCATGGTGTGGGTTTAGGTGGGTCAGTGTGATATTGCTGATACCAGCACTGTATCATATACAGATACAGTACTTATTGTAAGGGGCATTGTGTACTTTATTTGTTTTTTTGAATACTTTCCCTACCAAATCTTTTTTTTTATAGGATTCATTTAATTTAATTTCTTCCTGGCCCTCATTCTCATTTCCTTTTGGTGATGTGTGACACGTCTTTTTAACCCACATTAGTAACAGAAAACATGTAAGGATTGGCCCTGCGGCTACAAAATACATGTGTTGTTTTTTGAGGCAACACTTAATAAAATCCTAAACAAACTTTAGCGACAGGTTTAGCTGTTTACTTTTCAAAGTGTTGATTAATTGTAATGATGTAAACCATATTAAAAAATCATGATGCATATTTTGTCGTAGGGTGAAATTTCAAAAAGTTCAAAAAATTGTGCTTAAAGTACAAGTACAAGTACAAATGTAATATGTAAATATAAATATATAATAAACGTAAAACAATAAATGATATATATGATAAATATAATATTAGCAAGCTGGGAGGCTGAAATTGGTTTGTTTATTTTAAATTAGAGGGGAAAAAAATCTGGTTAAAAAAATAACATTGAAGAATGCTGTCAACAAATATAGTTATGTAAATATTAAGAAACTGAAATTAAATTTCAAATTTAAAGTATTTATTTGACTTCCCAACATGCTGTGAAAATGCAGTAACGGGGTTGTAATTACGCAATTAATTGTAAAATTAGGTCATTAAAAATTAGGGTAGCACTTTATTTTAATATGTCCTTGTTACACGTTACATGTATTTACTATAGTAATAACTATAAATTAGGCATAATTATATGCAACTAACCATCAACCAAACCCTAATCCTACCCTAACCCTAATGTAAGTACATGAAGTTAATAAATATTACTCAGTACTTAAATGTATTACACTGTAACAATGACACCTCAAAATAAAGTGCAGTAACCAAAATGAGTTGGGTATGGACAGCACTCTTATTCCATGAATGGTATGTGTCTTATATAACAGGTAAATTCTGATGGAATAATTGGCAACTTTGTTACAATGGTGTGTGTGTGTCATTCTCTTGGTTCTGTATATGGTCCAACTTGCAAGCTTGGCTCTTGTTCATGCTCTGAGTATAATTCTTTTGGGATTTTTCCTAGAATTGAGAGATGTTTACCCCAGTCTGAATGATGAAACTGGGCTGCTATTCCGTGTGCGAACCACAGTGTGGGGCATCAAATGAATGTTTCTGAACAGTGCATGATTTTGCCAGTGCCAGTAAATGGCACAATCGGCTTTGATTTGGCTTTGCACGTTTTGCCCAACTGTGATATTTTTAACATCTGTTTACCTTCTAATGACTCAAGAACAAGTAGATTATTTGCAACCATGACTCAGGCATAGGCACCAAGAGTGTTTTGTAACGTGTTACTGCAGCTTCCAAAAACAGTTTGTCGGATAATTGTTTGGAATTTTTCCTTGAAGAAATTCAAACTGGAAAGCAGATTTAATGTTACAGAACATCTTATAAAGGTGATAAAAAATTTTTTTTTAAAAAGACACTAGGGGTGTTACGGTACTTGGTAAAAAAAAAGACAGCCCAAGTCCCTTTTTATTGTCATTATATAAAAAGGGTAGCACTTTATTTGACAGTCTTGTAAAATAAACGATGTACTTATTACAGTAATTACAGTAAATGGGTAATAACTAGGCACCTAACCTAACTCCTAAACCTTACCTTAACCCCTGTAGTTACCTTAAATAACCCAGTTTTTCCTTAGGTAGATACACTGCAAGTACACTGTAAGTACATTTAAGTACAGTATACTGTAAAATAATGTGCAACCAAAAAAAGCAATGTGGATATTGTACATCATATTTCAATTGAAGAAAGGAAGTATTACAAGTTTGGAATGACATAAGGAATGGCATAAGTTATGACACTATAAATTAAAACTATCTTTTTGTGATGGATGGTAAAACAGCTCCT